ATTATTATTATTATAAATCGAGCCTGGTTGAACATTTGTGGAAGGAGCTGGGACATCTAGGGACCTGGGAAGCAGAGGCACATGTTTTTCCAGGCTCAATGAGATAAATGGGGACAGAATCTCACAACACAGCTTCTGCTATCTGCTGCAGAGCATGTGTTATACAGTTTGTACAGCTTGTATTGCCTCCAGCAATGGCTGCACACACTACTAACAATCACATTCACATTAGATCCCCTGTTGATTGATTCTGTTGATAACAAATATTAATTAGCATAACAAATTTCATGAATGTCATGTCCATTCAATGGAATATCATTGCACCTACTCCAGGTGTAATTTTCTTAATAATAGCTTTGTGATTTTTTTGCTTTTATAAGTGATATGTTTCTTTTGATGTTTAGTTAATTTGCAAACCCCAATTCGTCTTTGTAATGGTACTTAACAGCACTTTTTCTTTTTTCTGGCTTAAGAGATTACTGTGTGCACATCACCTTTCATTATTTTAAATTTTGTACCTGTTAAAATATTTTTTTCATTATTTACCCGGACGAACATGACCGTCTTTTAAAACATTTGGATTCTCAGTTATATTCCTTGCTTATCTGCAAAAATTTGGAAATTCCAATTAGAATAATGTTCAATCCATCTCTCCCATTCTTCTTCAGAAAATATAAAGACAGCAGACAAGCTCTCTCTAAGATGTGCATTGTCAACTGTGTCCTGGTTTTAGCCTCCAACAGCAGAGTACAAATTCTTGCATTAGATGTACTGTATGAGTGACAGCTTTCCCTTATAGCCAGAGGCTGACTTCAACCCCGCTAAGTGTCACAGCCCAGGTTAGCACTATCAATCTTCAGGTTATATGGCATTTTCTACGCTGTGAACAGATGCTTCTTCCAGATGAACCACTCAGGACTGTGTGACTATCTTTAACGTTCTTAATCAAGCTGTAACTTTAAATGGAAAGGGTTTTTCGAGTGAAAAAACTGACATTTATACTAAAAATATATAAGAAATACAAGTAATATTAGAAAACATAAAATTGTGAAATTGTGATTTTCTTTTCAAACATGTACAGTAATTCCATGTGTAACAGCATCTTGACTGGAAAACCAATTCCCTTTGGCATGAGTGAAAATGCACTTACACGTTTCTCATTTGCTGGTGACAGACAATCTGCTGCAGGCAGGATTTGTCATGCAGTGACTGTTCATTTCAGTTTATTCAATAAATACCTAGATAATTTTCAAAAGTCCCTGTAATACTCTACCTTTCAAACTGTTTTATATTGTCTGATTACATTATAATCAATTTATTGTGGAAGTTAATTCAAGCAACTATATTATACATCTTTCATTCTTAATTTCACAACTGAATTATATTGGAACAAAGGGAATTATCACTTTTATTAATGCCATCTAATACAAAAAAGCTTTCACTCCATTATTAGATGAAGACAAAATTATGGTGGAAGCTGGAGAATTTGAAGGTACAGTAAAAATGTAATGCTTAGAAATAATATTACATCCCTTTGTCTAATTTTATTGGTTGCTGTTGTATGTTAAATTACAGTAGATTCATGCCATACATTATAAACTGAACTCACATATTCAACAGATATCCATTTGAATTACTGTGTATTTTTAAATTGCACTAAATGGGTTTATTTAATTAATAAAATATTTATTCTATTACTAGCTCTAGTGGAGTATTCTATTTCAACTACAGTACATGATTAGCACAAAGACACATATCTCCCAGTACGTGTAATTGAGCCATTATTATATTGTCATGTCTGGGTATTTTTTGTAGGTTTATTGTGACAGATGTGTAATGTGCAAAATAATTTTCATTTTTACCCTATCTGCTACCTATTTTCAAGAGCATTGGTTCTTTCAGTTATGTGATGGTATAATTGGAAATGTGATAATGAAAATCTAAAAAAATATGGATTTTTATAAGGATCTAAAATTGCTGACAATCCTATATACAGTACATTACCCTGTATGTACTGTATTATATTTCCTTATGTTGTATAAACATAAGGAAAGCCAATAAGCCTTTCCTTATATTAATACAAAAGAGTAGCTTTATCTGCTCTGCTATGCCAACAGGTTGAATAATTTATCCAAGTGTGTTTTAATGTTCAATGTGTTAGAGGTGCTCACTGATCTGATAAAGAATCTGGATTAATCAGTAAATAATTAGTTGTGTTCATACACTCCTGGATTGGCTGGGCGTGACTTGAAGAAGTGTGGGATATTTCTGTTTGGCTTTCTCTTCTCAAATGGAAAGGATTCTTTCAACTGGGTTTGTAGTGAAGTTTTTTGAGGAATGATGGCAACTATTCATTTCTTCTGCTCTTTTTTGTAATCCTCCATGGTGTCTCTTCCCAGAATGTTAAAACAAATCAACTAAGCCCCTCTTCTCCTCACATACATTTCCTTTTGCATCCCTTCTCTAGCTCATCTCCAGCTTTGCTGCATCCCCTTGGTGAATTTCACTCTGCATGAGTGTCCTAACCTCCTGGGTGATTGACCCTTAGCCAAGCAGGATAAACCAAAGCTGTTTATTTCAAATTTTGTCAATAAATCTATTTGGAGAAAAGGAGCCAGATACATCCTTGGCATTAAGAGAAGAGCTTACACTGACATGTTGAAGGAACTGAATATTCATTCATTTTCTGATTAGGTGTCCTTATTCCTTGTGAGCTACAGTATACTGGTGGGGCAGGATTGTGGAACTATACATTTTAACTAGGCCATCTTTGTTACTTCTTCATATTATGTTGTCTAAGTGATATCTGTTATTCATATCAGGTGTTCTTCAATATTTAGTTGCTTTTATGGTACAGAGCAAATTTGATTTTTTTATACCCCATAGATAAAGTAAAAAAATCGTTTTTCAGATAAATTTACTGCAGAATCACTTTTTTTTGCTGGATTTTGATTTAAATAATAAGCTTTTCTATAAGAAATGACAGTATCATTTAATTATCATAAGAAGAAATATGTGCTTAATATAAGGGATTGTAATCAAGGTACAGTACACTGTACGTTTCTGAGATATGGTTTTGCTTTAGCTGTACTTGGCCTTATTTTTTTAATTCTTACTGTTTAACGGTCTGTCGAGAACAGTTGTATTTTAAAATTTTGTCACAATATACAGTAACGCTGAAAAGGTTCAAGACTAACGGCTAATAGAAAGGAGCATGTGCCTCTACAATAACGATTTGTTTAATCGATATTTTAATATTAATTTAATCACAGTTTATTTCTCAGGAGGGCGGGCTGTTGAAAAACGCTTGAACTTTTGCGAAAGCAAAGAAGTGAGGTCATTTATAAAACACATGGGGGAGGGGGTTGATCGCGGAGGAAAGGTTGTTCGTACTGTATGAGTCAGAGGGTAACGGGACAGGAGCTATATAAGGGAGACAAATTAACAACATGTCCAGTAAGGAAAGGAGGTGCATTGGCTGTTGTAACAGCAACTCTGTGAAGTTAGGTTTAGTTAAGGCACACCATTTAAAAAAACGTAATACTACTAGACTAAAGGAGTGCTTAGCGCTGACAACGCCGCTGTGTTTAGGGTTCCAGAAGTTGTTGCAACTTCAATAAAGCGTTTAGAATCTTCTACTTAGACCCACACTACTCAAAACACCACTTGCAGAGTTACGGAAAGGTCCTTTATTTAGTTGTACGTTCTGTAAGCGCAGTTGGTTAAAATGTTAAAGCTGCTGTCTGTGTTTCTAATGTGTGTTGGCAGCATGTGTCTGGGTGCCAGAGCGCAAGGTGTGAGCAAGGGAGGTTTGACAAGAGAATACGGGGTGAAGCTGTGTGGCAGAGAGTTTATCAGAGCCGTCATATTCACCTGCGGAGGTTCAAGATGGAAAAGGCTTTCGGAGGACTCGGATTCACCTTTAGGCATCGAGAAGAGTGAGTACTTGAGTACTAGGATTTATAAAGTTTGTGTTTGAACGTGTTCTGTAGACATAGAGTGTGACTTACCGGTGTTTATATCTACAGTACATCTTTTTAAATACCCACTTGACTGTTTTGCGTTCAGCTCAGTACAAACTAATGCAGTGCGCTGTTGTTTTAATGAATGACTATGTGTCAATGGTATGTGTAGTAACTGAAATGGCACATTACAGTACACACTACAATATGTTATGGCTCTTTCAGTAGACTTCTTTCTTCTGAAAACCAAAAATCAAAAGGTTTTTATCATTAAACAACTTCCAAAATCTAAACAATTTTCTTAATTTTCAAAATCTTTGCTTGTAATTTTTATGATTTTAAAATAATTTAATGAATTCAATAAATGAAAATGCAAAACGTAAAGATCATTCTTTCGGTTTTGAAAAAAAGTCATGTTGTACCTCAACTTCAAACATTGTTTTCTACGTGAAATGCTTTGTGTATATTGTGATAAGAGAATACGTCATTGTGACAGAATTCGAACCTAGTGAGTTATATTGCAGTTACAGACAGGATATTATGTAGAACACATTTTCTTAAACTTTTTGTCTCGTTAAAACGCCTAAACTCATCACCTGTCATTGTTTGAGTAAATTTGAGGATAAATTGTCTAGAAATTTTAAATTGCTGTCCAGAATAAGGTAATTTGATATTTTTATCGATAATGACGTCGTCCTTGATATAATTATACATTTTGATAAATTAGACTAAACATTGATCGTAAAGCAGCAGGACTGTCCTTGGCTTTGAAGCCATGAACGATATTAAATCTGAGAAAACAACCAGTAATCTGAATTTGTAAGAAGAAGATTCGTTTAACGACCTTGGATTGTACAGTAAATTTGTTCCACTCACACATAAGGGTAAAGGGTGCTTCCGTACGAAATTGCAAATAGCAAAACCGGCGAAAACGTTTTTTTAATACAGAGGATAAACCTGGTCCAATTTAACCTCATACTAATAAAACGTGCTTTAAAATAATTTAACTAATGTTGATTTTAATCCTGCATGTATTTATTTTATCTTAAATTTATGTTTTGGTAGGGGTTCTGAAAATTAAAGTTGCTTCAGTACTTGAACAGAATTTCCTTAAAATAGACATAATTAATTTGATTAATTAATTTTGTGTCCATCCATCCATACCATCCATACAGGACAGCCACACAAATCGTGGGTATTTGTAAAGTGTATACATAATCTACCTTTTCTTCTGAATATGTGTTTCTTGTTCTGATAGTTGAAAGTGTTAGCTTTTTAGCAACAACATCTTTGCTTGTCTTGCAAGTTCACTTATCTGCCTAAATATGCTCATTTAAAAAACTTCTTTAATTATTATCATTAAGTTGATCATGTCCCAAGTTATGATTAATAACATCCCGCTTCACAACCCTTAAAATCCTTCAAATAAAAACCATGCTTTCTGATAATTAATGGATTATTTTGCTGATAATGAGCAACTGAAATCTTTTCCTTGTTTTCAAAGACACTTCTCTCATTTTTCGAATAGGCTGGTGGTGTCACATGTCTAACATGTACGAGATAAAACTGACATAGAAAAATGAGCGAGTACTTGCATAAATTAATAATAATATTAAGAATTAATTAATTAACACCTACAAGATAATACATTGGTAATACCTCACAATATTTGGTTATTAAGTCAGTATTTACATACATTTGGAGAGAGCATTATCTAGAATATTTTCCTGTATTATCTTGCTGGAATCTATGGCCATTATTTTAAAATGTAATCAATAGTTCCATGTGTACTATACAGTACATCAATGGTGGTCACCAGTTGTAACAGTTCCTTATTGAGAAGAATGAGGGTCTGCGTTTTGAATCTGTCAATGGAGCTCATTAAACTTATTCCATTTTTATTTCATCTTTGCCTATTCATGCTGGGTGTACTGGCATTTAATAATATCTGGAATCCAACATTAATGTGGAAATATAAATGGTATTATATGATGGGTTAAAACTTTTTGAGTTTTAATTTCTTAGTTCTTTTCAATTCAATATAATTTATTTTTATATAGTGCCTTTCAAAACAAGGTTGCCCCAAGGCCTTAACAAAGCTCTTCATAGATTGTTAACAACACTGTTTGTTACACCTGCACAAGGTTTACAAAAATGTTTGGAAAAAGCTTTAGGGGTGTTTGCAGAGCTATCCCCACCTTTTGTTTTTTAAATATATTGTAGTTCATCCAAGTGGCCAAAACGTTACATTTAAATAAAAACAAAAATGGACCACTATATGTCTCAATGTATTTACAATCAGTAATTTTACCATTACTTTCAGAATATTAGTTGCATATTGTACAAAATGCTTCAAAATTCATCATGGAGAATTCCAGTCACTACAAACTAAATAAACCTAAACTACTAAGATAACCTTTCTAGTTCAGGTGACATTACAGTCAGTTAAATAACCATGGCCGCATGTAAATTCTGTAAACTTACTCTTGAGGCAATGTTTGATGCCTCTCCTTAGTCAGTGGCCATTTCCTTTTTTCACCAGATCTGCCCCTGGGTTCTGCTTTCCACACCGCCCCTGAAGGTGAGGACAGTCTGAGCAGACTGCAGTCCATCCTGGAAAGACCCCCCCTGCCCATCACGCAGCTATCCCTGAAGGACCTTGTCAGCCTGTACGGCGTCTACAGTGACTATGAGTCAGTGCCTGATGACCTCGGAGAGCTCCTGCAGCAGGTGTCAGAGCTCAGGCAGCAGCAGAAGTTACAGACTACTGAAAAAGTGGGCAACAGTCCTCACATCCCCTGGCTGAAGTCCCCCAGGAGGAAGAGGAACTTTTCAGTGGGCTTGGCAGGAATGTGCTGCAATCAGGGTTGCACTAAGAATGACATTGGCAGGCTCTGCTGATCATACAGCAGATCGCAGGAGCCCGCGCTAACCAGTCTCGATGTCTAGCTGTATTTATTTAATGTATATTGACTGTGTGTCAGTGAAGAGAGTTCCTGTTGTGTGCTGGGAACTAGAGAGAATGTGTTGGGTGAGGGGTCACTTTTGAATTTGAAATCTTTTAATTTTCAATGACCCACTGTCCTTATGGCTTTACTTGTTCTGTTTCCTAGAGGACAATAAAATTAGTTTTCCTACAATATTTTCTTCTGTTTGACAGTTTTGCTGTAATATTTCGCCTGATTTTTTTCTTTATTCAGCTCTGTGTACTAAAATACAATATCAATGAAGTGGAAGTGATGAGGTGCACTTTTTTCAAATAGTTTTTTTGTCTTTGTTATAAGGTAGACTGAACGTTATATTAAACTTAACTCCTAACTATATATTTATATTTGACTCTTCCCCCAGCTAAGTAAATAAAAGGACTGTACCATATTTTATTTCTGAGATATATGAAACTTAAATATAAACTTAGCCCCAAACACCAATTGCAAGCTTGTATGATATTGTCTTTGAAGTCTTATATCTTGTCTAAGATAAGTAAAAAAGATAACCACAGAAGAAAAAATCACACACAAACCAGTGCAGCTAAAAAGCAGTGGTCCTGAAGACATAATTCAGAGGAACATATGGTGGCACAATTACACGAAGTTCCATTCCAAGTCTGTCATTCCGACCCTTAGATTCAAAACTTCACAATAAACAAAGTAATAAATAGGGCACTTAGCATAACAATTTTTTTTCAGACAGGTATGGGAGGTTGGCATACAAAATGAGCATCTGCAATGTGTAGGGGGAACTTTATTTCAATGCAAGATTCATAAATGTTGCTGAGAGCTTGTTGTCACACTCATGAGCAATCACAAGTACAAAAACAAATAACTGGGCATATATCAATATCACTTACAGTCTGCTGAGTGTTCAGGGACACATTTTGTTTCAGAATATGACATTTCAACTGTAAGGCTCCTTAAGTATTATGTACCTATGATTGGAAATTAACTGATTCAATCACATAGTGGTATATAATGAGCTCCACAAATTTGTGAAACCGACAGTATGAAGATATGGTTTCAAAATGGTTTGCATACAGAAAGAGCTCTTATCATCAGGAGGAGAAAATTAATTTTCAATTACATTTATGATTTGTAAGACGAAGGTAGGAATATCAGAGGTGCCAAAATATTTGTGTGCAATATGGTTGGTCGTTAATTTTTCAAAGATAATAACTGCATAACGTCTTCATGCACATGCTGTTCTGTTTACAACATTGGAAGAAACACATTTGAAAATATTAATCTTACTATTGCATAAATATTTAGCCTACAAAATCAGCAATGACACAGAACAGATTTGGAGTTCGAGTACAGGAGTTTTGGGGCCTGAATTGTATCTAATAGTTTCTCCCAGCAGTTGACTGACAAATTCACTGAAATCATTATACTGCGGAACTGATGCACAGCTTGGGAGTGACACAGGCACTCAGGCACATCAGCGTTGCAGATCAATGAACTCTCTCTCTCTACTAACTCTCCCTTCTTCCAGCGTCTGTTTGTCTTGTTGCCAGTGTACATGTCTAAGCCTGTGGCATCACTGGGCAACTCTGTATAGGGCTTGTACTGTATATTACTAAGGTTTGGGTACTTCAATGAAGCAAAGTACATTTCAATGATCTAATCCCTGCTGGAATTAAGGCTAGTACTTGTTAGATGTACAGTAAAATAGTTTGACATGACCTTTATTTTTTAATTCCCTCCTTGAGTGCCTTCTGTGTGGAGTTTTATGTTCTTCCCATGTGCTGTATGTCTGTGTGTCACTATTGTTGATCTGGTTTCCTCCTAGCTGTCACAGACATGCTCATCAGATTAATGTCTCTCAAATTCTCCTTGTATGTGATTGGTGCTTTGCTCAAAGTGTGGTCTCACTTTGCACTCTTCCACCCTTTGCTTCTAAGCTGGACTCAGGGTCTCCATGACCCTAATTAGGAATAAATGGCTTTGTCATTTTTCTTTATTATAATGTTTCACAATAAAAATATAGAAACAAGAGGAGGCCATTTGGCCAATCTAGTTAATTTGAAGCAAATTGATACAAAGATCTCATCCAGCTTTTTCATGCAGGAAGATAGGCTTTAGCAACATGTTTGTTCCAAACTCCTACAACTCTTTAGGTAAAGAAATGCCTCCTTTTATCACTTTTTACACATTATACACTTACATTCTCAGGTTAATGTTTCACTGCTCATTCTGAAGATATCTGCAGAGTTAGCTTTGTCAGTGCCCTTGAGGATATGGAATACTTGTGTATTAAACAGTAATTGTGAATGCTAATTTATCAGCCTATCTTTCTAAAAGAAAAACAAATTGTGCAAATTAATGTTACCAAAATGGATTTAAGGTTATCATCCCCCATTAAGGTAGATTTTCTGGCTGGAATTAGGTCTACACGAGAAAATGTTGTGCTTGATGATTAATAATAACTTGAGAGTCATTCCTGAGATGGAGTCATGGACACTGTCACACCAGCCGAAATCAAAAGCACGTTAGTCATTCTGTCCATCCCCAAATACCCTATCACATTATGTATGCTCTGAGTACATCTGTGTCAAAGAAGGTGGAGAGCAATCTTTCAGTGTGGTTTTGCTTACAGTTTATGTGGCAGGTGTGCTATTTATAGAAGAAATGAATTTACTGAATAGTCTGCATTCCAGTTGGGACTGACTGGCTGGGGTGTCTGGCTGTGGAACCTTTACAAAGGTAACTGAGAGAGTCACTAAATGTATGCACATACAGTATTTTGTATACTGTGACGAGCACACCAAATTCGGAGAACCCATCAGCAAGTGCAAATCTTTCCAAACGGATGAGCTTGTGATTGAATTAATTTGATTAATTCCACCTCAAAGAGGCTTAGGCTGTTGAATCAAACCACATCTTAAACATCCTTAACCAGAAAGCCCAATATTAATATTTTTAATCACCTACAACCAGGCCACCAAAAGATTTTGAGTTCTGTAATGGTGTCAAATGAATCCCCTTGTCAGGAACACAGAATCCCTGTGTCAGAATAGAAGGATCCTGTGCGATGACATGAACACTGTGGAATGCAGAGTAGCACTAGAACTAAATCTGATGCACGGCTAGGTCGAGAGAAGAAGCAACGAGTGTAGTTACCAGGGGAATCCAAACGAGGGGAAGAAATCTGAGAAGCGATATCCAATTAGCGAAGTTAATAAGAAAAGAGTTTAGTTCAGGAACTGTGAAAATCAGTAGACAACTCTAAAGGAGGCTTCTCAATAGTGAGCGTGGGTTGGTGAGTGAGGAAAGTTTAAATACTAAAGGAAGAGAGATATGGTTGGATAATTGGTTCAGGAATCTGGTGCATGTGAGAATGTGGTAGCTTCAGTGGGAATGAGTACGTGAGTACGAGTACGTTTGCGAGGAGGAGTGTGCGACGTGACATTACACCCCCCTTAGAGCAGGTCCTGACGACCCCATTAAGTGTTGACGGAAGAATTCTTTAATGAGGCTCTGGACCAAAATATGTTTCTCGTGGACCCAAGAACGCTCCTCTGGGCCATAGCCCTCCCAATCAACAAGAAACTGTCGGCGGCCCCGATGCGAGCTTGTATCCAAGATCTTATTAACTGTGTAGGAGAGTAAGCCATCGATGAGTCGTGGTGGAGGTGGAGGGTTGAGGTCGGGAGAGGGGAGATCTATGGCAGGGTTGCAAGAGAGAGACATGGAAGGAGGGATGTACCTTTAGAGTTGGAGGAAGGGCAAGACGATAGGTGACAGGGGTGATCTGGGAGAGGATGCAAAAAGGTCTAATATAACGGGGGCCCCAACTTATATGAAGGTTCTCTAAGGGGTAAATTCCTGGTAGACAGACAGACGAATTCTCCTCATCTGCAATGGTAGAAGGGAAGGGAGGATTTAAGTCCAGGAGAGGGGGGGGGGGGTGGTATCCTAGGGAGCAATAGAAGGGGGACATCCTGCTTGTGGAATAAGAAAAAGAGTTATGTGCGTATTCTGCCCATGGGAGGAGAGAGACCCAGTCGTCTTGTGAAGCAGAGACGTATGCTCGGAGGTAAGTGAAAAGGTCTCGGTTGTTTCTTTCTGCAAGCCCATTACCTTCGGGATTATAACCAGATGTAAGAGATGTGGAAGTTCCAAGAGATTTGCAAAAGGCTCTCCAAAATCTAGAAATAAATTGCGTTTTCCGATCCGATGTCTGCAGGAATGCCATGGAGTCTGAAGATGTGAAGAACAAAGAGATCGTCCATTTCTTGAGCGGATGGAAGAGTAGGGAGGGGAATGAAATGAATTCTTTATGGAGTTAGTCTTGGGTCAATCTTAATGCCCAGGGGTGAGATGATGTAGCCGAGGAAGTGAATTCTGGATGCATGGAAAGTGCATTTATCTAGCATAGAGCTTGTTCTTTATTAAACGGTTAAGAATCTCACGCATGTGGGATATATGATCCTGGAGACTGGGGGAAAATATTAGAATATCATCCAGGTATAACAGGACATATTTGTGTAAGATATCCCTAAAGATGTTGTTCATGAAACCCTGAAAGACAACAGGAGCATTCACCAGTCCAAAAGGCATTACTTGGTACTCATACTGACTGTGGGTAGTAATGAATGCCGTCCAGGAGTGATTCCAAAGCCAACTCTCACAGAAAGGCATGCCGTGGAATGGCAGGAGAGCGAGAAAAGAACCTATGCGGAGCAACGAGACATGGAGAAAGTCTGGGTTTAGAAGGTCAGACAATGTCGGGTAGAAAACTATGCTCTCAAGCTGCAGAGGAGACGACCTGGTGCTAGGCGGGTCTCAGGACATCCGATCCCTCAATGTTGAGCGAGGAGGAAAGAGTGACCCGGAAATATAAAGCCCCAGACAAAGACATACCGGAAGGACAAGGAAAGCACAGGGAAACTAGGGACAGGACAGAGTAGGAGCGCCCTCTAGTTGTAGATGGTGTGATTGTACCCCCCCCCCCCCTTCACATGTGGCTCCTGACGCCCAAAAAACAAATTAACTGAAAAAAAAACCTCATTTAACTGAAAGGAAACCTCCAGGAGTCCACGGCTGAGAGCTACCCCTTCCTCCATGGTAAAAACCTTTTTGGGTAGAGGAAGGGGGGCCTGGGGAGGGCTCCGGGGAGCGAGACGAAAAAACACACACAACAAAAATA